CACTGTAGTATGTTTATTACTTAGTGAAATCCTACTGACTACCCACAATCATGCTGCTTTTGTTATCAGAAAGCCTAGTATTCTGCACATGATCTGCTTTTGTTGTTAGAAAGCCCAATGACATGGATGAACAAATGTTTGTTTATAAAATAAACATTTCTTTCTTTGTTCATTGAGGGACAGAGGGATTCAGAGACAGCTATACCGCCGGTTACAGGAGAATTTGGAAACTAGCAAACAAACAAAAAAAACTAGTGACCAGCCAGTTTAATCCCTCCGATCCCAGCATGCCGTAGATTTTGTGCTAGTGTCCTAGGAGGATGGACATCTTTTCTCTACTAGCCATTTATTTATGGTCAAGTAAAAAAAGATTTCAATGGACATTTCCCTACACACTACTAAAGCTGGTCTCCATATGCAGCTATCTAGATCAGGGTATCCTCAGGAATAGCTGTGGAGGCCTTAACCGGACCCTGCTGGACTGGACAATTGCAGCGGTAGCCTGGAATGTGTCTTAGGTCACTGTGTTCCACAATCTGGAGCTTTCTAGACTTGAGTGTACTCAGGGGTGTGGAAATTTTAAAAAAAATATTTGTCCAAGGACTAAAGGACAATCTACTTGTCCTATACAAAAAATAATTTGAACCAAAACCGTATATAACCATGCTAAAAAGCGCTTCTCATTGGTCAGTGCGGTCAGGTGACCACGCTGACCAACGCATGATCGCAATTTGCGACCAGAATTCGAAATCCATAGCGCAGGGCTGCGCTGGATGGCAGTATGGGGTACAGATAGTACACCCATACCGGCGGAGGGGAAGGACCATTCACTGGAAGGTAAGTATAGCAGGGGGGGAGAGTGGGCCAGACTTAAGCAGGGAATTCCATTTTCCCAAATTACTTGGGAAAGTGAACTTACCCTTTACTGCACATTGTGCATGTTAGAGATCACTGCTGCCTGGCTACCACAATATGGCACAGAGTGGAGTGGGTGCAGCACTCAGAGCAGATACACACAATGCCCATTCGCATGTAAGATGGTAGGGGCTATGGAGTTGGTTTTAATTAAAAAAACTTAACTTTTTTATTCTTTATTCAAATTTTTTTTTACTTCCACTTTTTTAACTTAACTTTATTGCTTTTGGAGTTGGCAGGTTCTCTTTATGAAGCCTGTCCTCCAGTACAGGACATTGAGCACAGTATTGTGCTTGATCTCCTGTGTAGCTGAGACAGGAAGGCTTTCTCCGGTCTGCTCCCCGCTCTCCATCCTGTAAGTTATTTGCTTGCACAGCCGCTCAGATCACTTGTACAAAACGCCTCCCCTGCTCTACATTTAGCCCGCAGCAGGGGTAAATGTAGAAAAAAACACTGCATGTCCCGGGCGTCGGGTGATAGGAATTCCACACCTCCGGTACTGTTTAGTGTACTGCAGAGCACTGTCTCGTTCCATAGCTGTACATCTACCAGATCATCAGGACCTTCTGTCTCAAGGACCAGTTTATCACAGTTGATGGCTTTAACGGCATGACTTCTGAAGCCTTTAGAGACAGGTGTATCTCTGAATTAAGGATTCCCACAGTGTTAAAGGCCAGGATGCCTACTTCCCACAAGGACTACCAGCCAACTTGGAAAGCATACTTCGGTACTAGGCTACTGTGTCTCCCAGATCTGCAAGGCCGTCACCTGGTCTTCTTTTCACACATTCTGCAGGGTTTAGCACGTGGATTTCCAGGCCTCATCTGATGCCTGCTTTGGACTTAAGGAACTTTAGGCACCACTATGAGCTTCAGACAGCCCTCATTTTTGTTGTTATGTGGTCCTGTTAGTGTTTTGTTGCTGTTGCCTACACCTCAGTTGGACAGCTTTTGGACATCGTAGTTGTCCCTGCCCTGAATGCTGTGTCCCTCAATTATTGAGAAAGAAAAATTGGGTTTTTGTACTTACAGTAAAAATTTATTTCTTGGAGTTCATTGACGGGCACAGGTCCCACCCATCTTTGTCTATGATCTTGCTCCTAGTTTTTATGTTCTCTAAAACTGAGGCATGCTGTAAGTGGGAGGAATTATACCGCCCGGTTGCTATTTTTTGTTTGCCAGTGTCCAAATCCTCCAGTAGGCAGCAGTATTACCCTGATTGTCTCTGAATCCTGTGTCCCTCAATGAACTCCAAGAAATAACTTTATTTTAAGTACATAAATCTGATTTTTATGCTATTCTCTTATGTCCCCTCAAAATATCAGTGTATGCTTCAACTGACTTTTTTTTAACCTGGAAAATCACATGGAATGAGACTGCCTGAAGAAGTGCAGTATGCTTGAGAGCTTACACTAAAATATATTGAGTAACCCAAATAAGAAGTATCATATGCTTAGACTTTCCTGCAGGTTAAGGCTTGCCATGGTAATGGGAATATCTGTGAAAGTACTGGAACATTTTCTCATAAACAAAGACTAAGTAGTACATCTCATTTTATGTAACAGCTGTGTATATTCATAGCTACCAGCATTGTTTTAAAAGCCTAATACATTTTGTATGACTAGTTTTTTAAAGAGAACTGGTGAATGGTCATTCATGTATCATACTATATTTCACATGGAATATGGCTAAAATACCAGTAAATCCCCACATTAAATGTAATTATATGTTGCCATTTGAAGAGATTAGTAGCAGCTTACTGAGGAGTTATACATGATGTCACACAATATTTTGGTGTATGTCATCTATTTTTGTTAATATAGCTTTTGAAAATGACAGAAAGACATGTTAAGGCATACCCTAGACATAGTTTGACAAACCTCTGTGTAAATAATTAAAAAATCTGATTTTATTGGGCCAGACCATCTGTGGCCTTTATTACTTTATCTTAGTGAACTCCTTGGACTGCCACTGAAGACTAAACAAGCCTGGGTTTGTGTAAATTTACACTCTCTGATAAATGTGCCTTATTTTCAGGAGCTTTAAACATTAATATGTTAAAGTAACTTTGTGCTAAGCAAAAATCAATTAAACTAATGGAGCTGCAATACAACAGTCACCAGCATATTGAACCAATGCCAAGTCTCTGAAAATCCTATGCAAATACAGACTTTCTAAAAGTCCCAACTGTACAGGGCTGAGCACATTCCTACATGACAGCTCTTGATCCTGACATGTGATTACTCAGACACCAAATTCTGCATTATACAGAGAGGGAAGGGATGTACTAGTTCTCGCTCACACCTGGAAGTACCAAATGTTTCACTGGGCTGGGTCAGAGTGAAGACCAGTAATACTGTAGGTGTAATGGTCAGGTGTCCACAAACGTTTGGCCTGAAACCTTTGGTGCACACTGCTTTTATAGAAGCTGAAGCCCATGTTAACAAGGCTGCATATGTTACACTGCTATAGAACTTCATTGTATTTTTGGGCTAAAATTAAAATAGAACCGAAGCCAAAACTTTAGTCCTGGATAGACTATGGGAGGGTTATAAACCCTGTCAGCTTCGTTTTTCCCACCTGTGTCCCATTGGGAAGATTTCCCTTCAATTCCTGTCTGATAGTTTCAACAGGACCTCCAAAGAAATCCCTAAAGAAAGGGAAATCCCCGGTGGTCATCGGGGTCATCAGTACTAGTGTCACCACTGGAAGATTTCCCATCTATTCCTGATCTAGTGATAACCCAAAATTTGGGATTTTCTTTCACTTTCAGTAATAGCAATCACCAAAATGAAAAAAAAGTTTTGGCTTCAGTTGCACCTTAATTAGTATTTTATTTAAGCTGCAATACTAATAATTGAACATTAAGTATAGGGATGTCCCAATACCGATACTAGTACCGTTATTGGGGCCGATACAGGGCATTTTCAGGAGTACTTGACCCGCATAGCCCCTCCCCCAGAACACCTCTCCACCAAACAGAGGCTCCGCTCTGACCTCTCTGGACGGAACGGAACGGAGTGTGACAGTATGGCGTGCGGTAAGTGTTCTGTGAAGTGTCTCTTCTCCGTGCTGGTGCTGGCTGCAGAGCTCTGTGTCCCTTTCACAGACCTCTGTAGCCAACACGAGAAGGGAGAAAAAACTGACTGTGAAATCCCCCGCTTGTATGTTAGCTGCTGCTCCTCCTCCGTCCTTCCGTGTCCTATCCTCTTCAGCTTAATGAAACTTTGCTTTTGGTAATATATCAAAATGTTTGAGATGTCCGTGCTCCTTATGTGTAATGCACTCATCAGCCGACGTAGACAGCAGTTTTCACTCTCAATGAAAGAAGAGAATGGCCGTTCAGTGTGCTCACGGGGGAGGAGAGGAGAGAAGCTGTAAATCTTTCCTTCACAGTCACACATAATGGACTTTGCCTTCTTTCATTGAGAGGGGAAACTTCTGTGTACTCTGGTGAGGGCATTATTAAACAAATAAGGAGCACAGACAACTGACACTGAGATATATCACCAAAAGCAAACAGTTTCATCAAGTGGAAAAGGAATGGACACTTGTAACAATAGCCAGCCTGCTATTGGATATTTTAAATTGCAATAGCCAATAGCAAGCTGGCTATTGTACCCACCCATTGCCTGCTGTCAATCAGCAGGGAGGACCTGATAGAGAACTTTGTCTTCCTTTGCTGATTGACAGCAGGCAGTGGGCGGGTACAATAGCCAACCTGCTATTGGCTATTGCAATTTAAAATATCCAATAGCAGACTGGCTATTGCTCCCAGCCACTGCCTGCTGTAATTACATTCAGTGAATCCAGTGAAGTGGAAAGGTGACACGAGGTCTAAAAGACCCCTAATGTCACCTTAAAGAGAACCTGTCACCTCCAATGCACGCAGCCCTGGTGATAAACTGCCCTAAAATCATTAGTCTATTGTTTTAGAAAAAATGTCACATGGCCCTTTAAGAAAAAGTATCGGTAATTGGTATCGGCAAGTACATGAGAGACAGTACTTGTACTTGGTCTTGAAAAAGTGGTATCGGGACATCCCTAATTAAGTAAATACTGTATGTTTGCTGTTTCATTTTGTAGGCTACTGAAAATCATCGCCTTCTTGCTGCATTTAAGGGCTTAGTGGATGATTTCCGATTTGAGCTGCGGGATGAAGCCACAGACAAACATGAGAGTCAGCAGTTATATGCAGAAGATAAAGCTACTTGGGAGATTGAAGAGACAGAACTAAGATGTCGCCTGGAGCAGGTAACCTAGGAAAAAAAACTGCCCTTTTAAATTTAAAAACACACTGGTTGACTTTTCTCACCAAAATGTATTGCATGCTCAGTATTTAACCAATAACTGTGAAGTGAATTAACACTTTACAACAATTTATTTAATCTTTTAGAAAATGAATGTTTATAATTTTCAGAACAATAGTCACATTTATTTAATCACTGTTTCAGATGGTAATGGGAAATTTGTAAACATCCAGCAGTGCAGGAATATAGACATCAGCATATCACACCAAGACACTATACACTGACAGGTTCAGTCACTAGGTTACTACATTGTCATTCTTCTGGGATCACTTCTTAAAGGAGAACTCTGTGTAAAAAATGTATTAGCCCTTGCAGTGGGGCTACCCCTACACTACAAATGTTAGGTGATCGTTTTTGGCTAGGGTCAAAAATAACAAAGTTATACTCACCCGATTTTCCAAGCCAGCAAGCTGTGACAGCGATCCCTCCAGCCTTTCTCCTTCTCCACGGCAGCAATGGTATGTCCCTCCGCATCCTCATGTCCTATACATTGTGTATAGAACCTAATGACTCAGGGACCTTAGACTGCTGCAGTGGACAGGGAACAAGGCCCTGGGTGCTGGTCTAAGAGCAAGTCAGCTCAGAGAATCAGATGAGTATAAACTTACTATTTTTACCCAAGGCAAAAACAAGCACTTAACCCTCACGGGGGGGGGGGGGGGGGTAGCCCCCTGTAGCCCCACTGCATGGTGGATAACCATTTTTACCTGGAGTTCTGCTTTGAAGGAGGATTGTGGGAGAGTAAAACATACTCTTCCTAATGCTTAGAGCTGGCTTGGGACACTGCAGCTGCCACGTGCTGGTTCTAAGTCTGATCGGTCAGCTATTGGTCTCTGCTACCAGTGGAGAGCAGTGACTGTCAGTACTTTGTCAGGATACTTCCTGACCGCTGCACAGCTCTGCCCTGGCAGAGGTCAGTGGGCTGAGTTTACCTCATGGCAGTTTTCACTTTGAAATGTTCAATTCACAAAAAGGCCAGCAACCCTTGATCAGCTGATCAAGGGTTGCTGGGCGGAAGGGTGCTGAAAGTGGCACCCGGTGTGCGATTTTCGGCCAGTTCATTTGCACCGTGTATACCCTACTTTACCCTTTTCTCTTGCTCTTGTGACAACTGTATAATTTTGGATTTCCCTTCATCTTATGTCTCGGTGACAATGGCCACCAGGGCAGAAAGGGAGAATCTCCCCATTGAGGACATAAGCAGTAATAAAAACTTGACAAGAGTTCCACTACTTCTCTACTCTTATCCCAACATAAGCTGGGTATACACAGTTAGAGTTTTATCAGAAAACAGTTGTTTTAAGAACGTTTGTTCCATTCTCTAATCGGTAAAAAATTGGGGTTAAATCACTGATCTATTTAAACCACAGTGATGAAAAAATTGAAGCAAGATGGAATATTTTTCTCCATTCATTCCAAAATTAAATGTTAAAATGAAATGAAATTTTGAATGAAATTCTACAAATCTCTGATGGCATTATTGAAGGTTCTGATGAGATCTTTCATACAAATGGTTCAAACGGAATTCTAACTGTGTATACTCAGCTTTAGTTGGAGATTTATACAGGATGACACCTACTTACAGTATGACTTTTGAAATGAAATGAAGAAAACTATTGAACTATAGCCAGTGGTTTCTTTGTTTGTTTGGAAAAGTAGCCATGAGAAAAAGAAACAAACTTGTAAACCTTCTGTGTGAGTAATGTAAATCTGTACCAATAAGGATCTAATCTCTGGCTGCCTGAACGAATGTGCCCAGAGGGAAAAGATTAGTGAGACAGAGCAAGATTAAATAGAGATTACAATAGAGATTAACCTCATTTCTCTGCTTCAAACCAAAGTGCACTATACTAAATAAATCCTTTCAAAAAGGCTTGTACTGTATATGGTAACATGCAATCTCTAGACTGTAATTACATGAATTTGAAGGTGATTCTGGGGTCTTGTATCTTAAAGTGTATTTCCACTTTTGCAGTCAAATGAGAGAAAACCCCTCGATATGTCTGGTATGTGATCCTATTCACACAGCATAAAGAAAAATAGTGAAAAAAATATTTCTTACCTTTAAGATGTTTTGTTAAAGCAGGCAAGATGGGCCGATTCCAGGTTTTTCTCAGCACCTTCACGGAGATCTGTCCTATTGGAGAGGCTTAGGACTGAAATCTAAGGATTGTTTTTCTCATTCACTTAATTAACATACAATGGACAAACCAGAAATGTTGACCCTTAAACCCCTAACCCAAGTAAAAGCAGTTTAAACTGATAGAACCATTTTTTTTAGCTTATGCTATGTGAATGGGATCATGCAACAAATATAAATTGTGTTATTCCAATTTGGCAGCAAAAGTGGAAATACTATATATATATATATATACAGTGTGTGTGTGTGTGTGTGTGTGTGTGTATATATATATATAATGTAGCGAGAGAGATCAGGTGGTATAATAATCAGCTATCCACACAAGTACTGTTGGAATGGCTCCTAGTGGGCATTTTACTTTGGCATTTCTATGTATATATGTGGAAAAAAGATTAGCAGCATCACTTCACTATCTGGAACGACCGTTTCATGCCAACGCTGATCTCTAATTTGATGTTTGGATTATAAAACTGTTTCCAGGCGTTCACTGAGACAGACATTGCGTCTACTTGGTGTGATATCACATTTCCTGCTTTTTAGCATTTGTAGTGTTCACTGTGAAGTCATTTTTCCTTTTTAATTGAGAGAACATGTGCCATGAATATTATAGTGACATTCTGTAAGTGTGCTCTTAAAAAATCTGCTTCATATATTTAGAGAACACTTATTGCAGTACTGAGGGAGATCTGTAAGATTATATAAGGTTTGATGTTCCAGAGAAAATGTTGCATTATTTATTTTCAGTATTCTTGCAAATTTTTAACTTAGATGCCCAATATAATATACTGTATTTATAATAATAAATCTAATAGTCATCCTATTTCAGAGTTTTACAGATACCAATCACAACAGTTCCTTCCACCAACGTAGGGCAACAGTAATATCAGACTATGCAATTCAATGGCTCTATGCACAGCTATTGATTGCTTATAGAGAAGTAGCTGATGTGACCATTGTCTGTGTCATTGGTCAAACCACAAACGCCACTTTCAAATATAAACATGCAGTTTTTATCTTTTCTTTGGGCATCTAGAATCTGCTCAATAATTGTAGAGGAGAAAGATAGTAATGTAATAGGGTCACTTTAAAGCCCTTTCAGGTAAAGCCACATCGAGTAGTAAAGCCTGTCCCCTACCAACGTGGTGCGGAAAAGGACCATTGCTCTCTGTTGGAAGCAGTGGTCTATCTTCAGAGGTCCCACATGCCCAATACTGATTCAGAGCTAGAGGTCTTCAATCAGTAAAACAAAAAAAAGTAAATTTTTTTGGATTGCATTATTTGCTTCTTTTTTGGTTTCTGCCTGGTTACTACTACCCGTTTCCACAATCACATGTGAACCTCAGTGAAGATAAGATAACCACCTGTCAGGTCCAAGGAGAGCCTAGAAGTACTAGTGGAGTGTAAAACTGGAGGACAGTAGAGATTGCAAGGTATCTGAGGCTTGGAAGGCAAACACTTGTTACATTATTAACATACACAAACATAGACCTGGATGAAAGTCAAGTATGAAAGTTTAGTGACTGACTGTCCAAAAAGGTGATGGTGGTAGTTTGAAAAGTTTGAGTACAGTGATTGCATTGTACCTGGATTGGCATGGTGACATAAACCATATGTGTAGTTTTGTTGATGAAGAATTTGGACATTCATGCGCTGTAGTGCAGCTTTCTATATAATAAGCAATATAGACAGCATCTGCCAGCACTGCTCAATGCCCCTTCAAAATCGTATGGAGCTGCCGAAGGGGGGTCAGATAATATGTGCACACCTGATATGTCAACCTCCTTGGTCAGTGAGTGGCTTGGAATCTCTACAACAACCATAATTTTGTACTTGCCTCATGCCCCTTATTTGGTAACCGTTAAAGTGTATGTTAGTATAAGTTCACTTATGTTTTGTCCCTATAAAGAACTCCAAGTACAGAAAAATACTTGTTGATCTCTGTAAATATACACTCTGCTCCTTATTTCTTGTTGTGAGCTCACACCACAGTGCCTCTCCTGTTCTTAAATGGCAAGAAATGAATTCAGCCCTGCCCAGTTGTCTTCTGATGAACTACCGAATCCCACACCCTATTTACCTCTGCAACATGGGGTAAGGTGTTTTGTAGTCCAAAAGCTGGGTGGGAACATGAAGTGTGCAGAGGAACCCGGGATAGCTGTCCATTTGTGACAGGATCAATAGGTTGTTTTTTTGTACTTTTAAAACAGATATAACAAAACGCTTTCCCTTGTATATTCAGTAGACCAAAAGAGAGTAAATAAGTTCCTTTTTAAGGTTTAGGTCGGGGGTGGGGAACCTCCGACCCTCCAGCTGTGGTGAAACGACAAATCCCATGGGCATTGCAAGATTCTCACAGCCACAGGCATGACTCCCAGAGATGGATGCATCATGGGATTTGTAGTTTCACCACATCTGGAAGGCCGGAGGTTCCCCACCTTGTTTATATATACTTAAAGTCACAGCTGAGTATTATGTTCCAGTCCTATAGTTGTGCTAAGCCTGTTGATCATATTTTTGTGGCTGTGTGATTCTTTTAGTCTCTTTTCTTATCCTGTATTTGGGGATATTTCTTTTTAATCTCGTCACGTATGCTCTTGTGAGTGTAGTTTTTGCCTGCTGATCATATGTCTATACATTTCTACAGCCCTGGTAGTTTTTCTGTGGTTTACAGTCATCACTCCTTTCCTTTTAATGTGTTGCCCATTGAAAAGGCATAATGAAACATTGCTTGTTACAATAATAGCACCCCAAATTTACCAAAATAGACCTATTCAAGAATAGTGGAGAGTTCCAGTACCTTGTGGCACAAATGAGCTTGATAAAAGGAATTTCTTTTGAGAGAAAACACTTTGTGTCCCATTTATACCTGTAAAATGGATTTATTTTTCTATTTGGTTGGTGCAGGATCTGCATGTGTTTCATGAATGGATAAGAGGTGGGTGTAGGACGTTGGTAGCAGTTAGACGTTACATAAACTCCTACTCCTGGGATCCCTGCACTTCCTATTTGACACTAGAGGTGCAAAAGTGTCAGCACCCGGTTTGTTGTTTTAGGACAATGTCACCCTTGACACCCGTGTTTTGTTTCCAACTTTATTTTCATACTGAGGATGCAGATGCATAATGTGACTACAATGTATTTGCAGATATTTATAGCTTGGCCTTGGGAATGTATACAGAATGTTGGGATGAATCTTAAGTTCTTCCTATACAGTTATAGAGCAGTGGCAATTATGTTTCTAATTACTCTGCTACATGCAGTAAGATAAAATATATAAACCCTAAGTGAAGGTGATTTAGTTTGCTATAGTACCTATGCATCAGAAACAATGGCCTTTTTTTATTTTCATACAATACTTGTTATTTTCATTCATTGTTGCTTCCTAGATGACCTCCTTCATCCACCTTGCAGCTATTTCTTGTCTACATGCATGCACTCCAGCAATGGCTGCATGGCATTTCTCAGGGCAGGTTTCCTGGTGCTGACACCAGTGGATCATGCTTGCATAATCTGTGTAGAAACGGCCTCTTGTAGTCTTCAACAGAAGCCTGTGTGACAAGGTGACATGCAGAATGAACACTTAGGTATAGGAGATAGGAACATAACGTTCTTACCCTATAAGACAGTATGTCTAATTAAGGACCTTCAGAGCAGAATCACCCGGCTTTATTATTTTGAAAACGACTTATCTTAACATGTTAAATCTTCTACGACATTTTAGTTATTGTGTTCTCATATACTTAAAAACCCAATTCTGGGCTCATCCTCCAGTTGTGATCCTTGTGTATTTTTTGCCCGTATAATTCCTCCCTTTTTCAGAAGATTTCTGGCCGATCACATGACATGAGGGGTTCTCTTCCTCTTCAGGTAACCTCCATGGCACCTTGCACTGAGAGGTTGTCCTCAGTCTTCCGGGTTGAATGGGCATCATTCAACCCAGAGGACCAAAGACATTTAGTGGCAGAAGGTTATTGCTGCGAAAGACAGAACTTGAGAGGAGGTGAGCTTTGCAGTCACAGCTGAATTTTTTTTATTACCTCCAGGAGGACCTTATATAAAAAAAAGAAACTTTACTCCATTATTGGACTTTAAGCTCTAAAAATGGACATGTGAACTATGGAACAGTTTCTTAAAATGTTTTAGATGGTATTTGGAGTATATATGTATTATATGTATTCAGAAAACATACTTGAGACATGATAACATGAGGACTACAGTTTTGTGTATTTGTGTCTCTTTTCCTTTTGCAGTATGAAGTGAGGAGGCCTAAAGTGCCGGGAGACTTGAGCCCCAGTGAGGTTCAGGTATCTAACAGTCAGGAGCGAGAGGAGCACAAGAAGTTGCTTTCCGAGAGCCACCGTTTGGTCATGGACCTCCACAGGCAGGTACAGCAGAGTGAAAAGAACTGGAGTCGGGAGAAGGGAGACCTGCTCGATCGATTTGAAAGGGAAAAACGTGACTGGGAAAAGCAAAGAAAGGAATTCCTCAGGAAAATAGAGCAGGTACTAAATATAATATCTTTATAGTGGTCAATGAAGTTACTGAGCTTGGAAACCTTTGAAGGAAACAGAAGCATTCTTGTTTTTTTCTATCCAAAGCAGTTCTTGTGTGCAGACCTCTACATGATGAGCACTGCTAAGTTATATTCCCTTCACAATACAGCCATGCCGTGTTTTGTGCATAATGGAAAGAAACTGTCCTGGTGGGGATTCACTCTACTTGGATCCCCAAAAGATTTTTCTAGTCACTTGACTCAATCCCAATAATATATGTGTATTGGCTGTTGTGAAATGCAATAATAATGAAGAATAGAAAATGTGTCTTATTTTTCCTGAACTTGCTTAGCATTTGTGTTTTACTTTTGCAGCTTCAAAGGGAATCAAGTCCTCGGAGAAAAGATAGCTTCCTTGCTGACCAAAGTGATGATGGTGATGGGGAATATTCAGCCAAGGCTGTGCTGCATTTGCATGGAGCTAGGTCATTTTCTGACTCTGATGATATGCAGTTTGAGGAACAGTTACTGCCTAAGCTGAAGGGGTCCGATCGCTGTACTGGTTCTGAGAATCTCTTTCTTGATGCACTTTCGCTGGATTCTGTTGATGAGTCTGATTTAACTCAGCCCTGCAAGTTGGAGCGTGATAAGTTCTCCGCTGAGGTAATGTGCCTTTTCTGTTGCTGCCCCATGTTTGAGCACACTATATATGATTCTGAGTCTTGCACTTCAGCAAAAGGATTGTAACTAAAATGGGCAATTGCCTACTGGAGTAACAGAATGTAACTTATGGTAATGCCTGAATCCTGTCTGTTTTTTATTCATCATGTGACCACAGAACAATCAAGTCTTCGTGAATGAACTCTTCATCTGAGATTTTATTTTAAGAAATGTTATGTTTTTACTTCTATTACTAATAACTTTATAAAAATCTGTTTCCAGTGCTTTTATTTAGATTAGAAAATAACATAAAGTTGTTATGTTTGTTTTGTATAGAGTTGGGAAGGGGTAGAACGTATGTCAGATTTTTGGTGTAGTGCCCCCAAGAGGTAGATGCAGACTTTCAATGAGTCCTGGTGACCATTATCACAAAGAGTGAAAGAATGTCAGCAGAACCAAAATAGAGGAGAAATCTTCCAATGGTGACGCTTGTTCCAGTAAATGCTTAAGAGGTCATTTCCCCTATTTTAAAGAGATTACCTCTTATGTACTGTTGTGCTTATGAAAGAAGAGGTTGAGGTCATTTGCCCCAACATTACACAGATGGCAAAAAACCTGACACAAGTTGTACCGTTCCCTACTCTATCCAAAACTAAAAAATATTTTGCTTTAGATTCATGTGCGTATCTTTCTGTAGTTTTACATCAGTATATGTAGGTAAACTACAATACCAAAAGTGCATTCTGAATTGCCCACCTTCCTCATGTAGTATAGGTTTTTTAAAAGACACACACTCATTGAGCTGCTAGCCTGGTAATCTCCATGAAGAGGAGACATGCTTTTGCAGTCTTAAAACCATATTTTCTATGAGTAAAGGATGATTAATTAAAGGGGACCTGTCATCCACACAACAACATACCATACTGGTAAAACCTGTACCTAGTATTGGGCACATCCAACACAATAAAACACAGAGATGTTGGAGAGGAACAAATAATAGACTATAGCTGATGCATTAAGGTTACGTAATGTGGTTGCTTGTTTGCCATTTTTTTTCTTCTGATAAAAGTACTTTAACAGATGGTCTGTGCTAGTAATACGAATCACCTCTGTGATAGCAGAAATCGCTGGTAGAAAGTAAACAGATATCAATTTAAATCTTAAATGGCACTACAAATATACCACGCACTGGAGTGTTTTAATTGTGGATGTTGTGACAGAATTTATCTTTCCATGTGTAAAAATTGGTCCATTCTCATTCTAATCCATGTAGTCACACATTGTCTGTAATGGCGAATATTATGGTATTTTCATTCATTTACATTTAGATTTACCATTGTTGTGTATAATTGTACAGTATTTCAGTTATTTGTGCATTATGTGCCTGTTGACATTATATTATGTGTTGATGTGCTTTGTAGTCCCACAGGTTATGTACAACAATGTATGGTGCTGTCTTAATGAAAAATAAATAGTTAACAATAGGAATGCACCGATATATCGGCCGCCGAAACATATCGGTCGAAAATGGCCCTTTTGGCTCAATGCCGAAAGTGCAATTTTCCTGCCGATACATTGGCGCATCCCTGCTTTCTTTCCTCCCCGCTGGGCGCTGCTCTGTGTCCCAGCGGGGAGGAGAGAAAGTGTGATGGCCGGCCGAGTGCTGCGGGAGGAGAGCGCAGTGAGCGGCCGGCGTCTCTCCTGCCACACCGCTCAGCCTCCTATCACAGTCCGGGAGAGCTGTGTGTGGGCGGAGACAGCCCGTGCAGTCACAGGAGGCTGAGCTCTTCTCCGTGCACCACTCGCTCAGCCTCCTGTGACAGCGTGTCAGAGAGGAGAGCCAATGGAAGCACTCAGGGATCATTGATCGCTGAGTGTTTGTAGATAATTGAGGACATGGTTTGTTTACTATATCTTCAATTATGAATGTATGGGAAGTGATCTACATCACCTCCTGTTCATTCATAATTGTAGTTATAGTAAACACACAATGTTCTCAAGTTATGAATGAACAGGAACACTCATAGAGGATTCCTGTTCATTGATAACAGGGGATACAGAAAGGGAGATAGAGGACTCTGTGTCTTCAAAATATTGAAAACATTTCGGCCTGACAATTTTTTTTTTTTTCGGTTTCGTTTCGGTTTTGAATTTCCCATTTCGGTGCACCTCTAGTTAACAATGTAAGATGTATTGAAAAATACTTTTTGGATTAATAAGCCTATAACCATCTTGCTTGTTATTGCAGGATGATGCACAAAAAGGAGGTTTGCAGAGGTAAGTATTTCTTAAATGCTGTTCCAAAATTTAGGAATCATCTTTTAAAAGCGTCTGCATGACCATGTACTACTTGCATGCTCCCAGTTTTTGGCTTTATTTGTGGATCTTCCTTTTTAGCTCACATGCACTTATTATAATCTTGCATGTTTGCTTGTTCCAGGAGTGTAGCCACATTTCTTATTGTCTACACACCCTTTGTTTTATAGGGTCATGTCTGTGTCCTCCATGTCTGAATTTCATCAATTAATGGAAAGCTCTCCTTTCCTGCCGGACAAGAACTTAGATCTTTCTAGTGACAAGGATGAGTTAACACCACCCTTGTCTCCTGATGATCTGAAGTATATTGAAGAATTTAACAAGAATTGGGATTACAATAATGTGGGCCAGGGTGATAAAATGGTATGTGTGGATAGAACTGGAAATGGGAAAATTGAATATGAATCAGCTTCTGAAACATTCCAGTCATCTTCATGGTTTCTTACCACGAGTGTTACTATGACAACAAATACTTTGACCAACCCAGATCACTGCCAGAAGCAGCTGTCTCCAAGCCACGATGTTACAGACAGAATGGGGGTTAGGGTCTTCCACAGCCCACAAGTGGTTCGAAGGTTTGACACATCTGCAAATGATGGCAATGATGAGCAGGAGCACCTAGACCCAGACTTACTCTTTTCCGCGACCAAAGCCAAGGGAAATGTTTCTGAGGCAAAACTTGGTGGTACAGAGGTATTTGGGAGATGGTCATGTGATCTCAATAAGCACCACAAAGACTTCCATGAGAGTAACCTACACCCTATGGATCGTCCTGTTTGCACTACTGTCAGTTTTGCGTCTTCTCTGCACAATATAGAGTTGTCAAGGAACTTGAGTGATGACATGAAAGAAGTAGCCAATTCTGTTAGAAATGCGATTCGATCAAACTCAGTAGAATCTCAATTTAGAGACATTGCTTGTCAGACCAATGGTTTAAAGAGTACAGGAACACAAACAACTCAAACAATTAGTGTTGGTTTGCAAACCGAGGCTTTACGAAGCGTTACCAGCAGTCCACTCAAGTGTCTGACACCAAAGGGAGTTTCTACTCCTGTATCATCACCTTCACGTAGTCTGAGGAACAGGCAGATTTCTCCAGCTATTGAAAAAGTTCAAGCAAAGTTTGAACGAAATTGTTGTTCTCCTAAATATGGTTCTCCAAAACTGCAGAAGAAAACACTTGCTAAAACAGATCAGCCAACAAAATGTGTTACTTCTGGTACTTCCCAGAAAGGCTTCAATGAATCTGCGTGGGCTAGGTCAACAACAACCAGGGAAAGCCCTGTTCATACCACAATTAATGATGGACTTTCAAGTCTTTTTAATATAATTGATCACAGCCCAGTAAATTGTGACCATTTACAAAAAGTGTCAAGACCAAGCAGTAGATCTAGGTCAGCAGAAACCAGACAAGACTTTGTAACTATGCCTGACATGTACATGGATGGCAGGGGGAGATCTCCAAGTCCCATCCGCATAACTGTTGAGCTTCAAAGGGATCAGTATGGTGATGTCAGCTCTAGACAAGATCTCTCTGCCCCACCTGGTTACTCACTGTCAGAGAATGCTGCCAGAATACTTACCAAGAAAATATTAGATGATCAAAGACAAACACCAAATAGTCCAACCAGAGGTTACAGAGACCACACAGCTGCAGAACTTTTAAAAATCGAACAAGGATCTATTGAGGTAAGGATTGTTTCTTTTTTTATACTGCTTGTCCCAGTACACCTCTTGCCGTAAAGCAAAAAAAAGAACATTTAATTTGCTATTGATTGTGATCCATTACTGTATTATTTTTTTGTGTAATTCCCAGCCGCTTGGGTTATACCATGTTGATCAAATTGTGTTTCAAAATTAATTTATATAACTTGATAATTTCCTTAAAGATATGTATCATCTTATGGAAATCCTGGCCAAAGGTTGAAAGATACCATGGACTTTACTGGTCTTCCACAAAAAATAATCTGATTAGAAAATTGGGCCACAGTTGATGAAAATTTCAAATTATTTCCCACAGTATCATTTAGATGCTTCAGAAGACTAGCCTAATTACATTTCAGGTTTCTGGTTACATATGTTACTTGCCTGTGATTTATTTTAAGTGGTAAAGCAGGAAAGCAATCCAGTAAGAGGGGGTAACAGTCTGCTTTTTTGCTGTCGGTTCTTCAAGTTGGGCCACCATTATTCCTTTATTGCTAATTTCCTAAAATACATGTCATGAACAGGTAATCGAAATACATTTGAAAAAAACAATCTTTAAATACCAATATTGGTGTTGAACCAATTACACTATGTGTGCACAATATCCTTCTCTTCAATATAGGTTTTAAATTGATGATTTGTTACACAGCGCATAATGAAAACATTTTGTCTAGACTTGAGATTTAAGTATGCTATTTTATATATTCACCACAAAAATGGAAAGGAGTGGAAATCATACTAACTCTGAATACTGGATTTCATGGCAAGGTTTGCATAACATACTTGAACCACTTCAGTACTGACAAGTTACAACTCCTCCATTACCTGGCCATTTTTCAGTTTTCACTTCTGTGAAAGTTTGACTGAGAATTACACTGTAATAAAATTAATTTTATAGACTTTTTTCAGACAGTAAATCATTTCTTTTATTGTCATCTAATAACCATCTAACTTTTTTTCTTCTTTTACTATATAAAGTATATATATATATATATAGTAAGACCCAAAAAAATGAAAATAAAAACCTGAACAAACGCTATTGAGGGGGTTAAAACATGGAGCTTATTAATGGTGCTTGAGATACAATAAATCTGCATGACATACACAGAGGTCGGAGCTGAAGGGGTCAATGTACAGATGTGCATGATAAGAGCGGTGAGGGGGTTAATGCATACAGAATAGCGGAGACAGAATGCAAATAACATAAGCAGTAAAGGAGGGGTGAGGTGAAGGGGTTAAAATTATTTGAAACTTTTTTTTTGCTGCTGTTGCTGCAGTTTGTTTTCACTAGGAAGTAATAAATAGATGACTCATCCATTTATTACTTCCTCTCCCCTGCCTATGATGTAAGAGGAAAGGGATGGCTTGGCAATGTAAACATTGCCAAGTGATTGCTGTGATAACCAATCACAGTGATTACAGGATACAGAGCCAGTCTGATTGGCTCCGTGTCCAAAGAGTGTCCGGACAAAAGTGGTTAAAAAGTTCCATGTTAAAGGAGAAGACTGTGCCGTTATCCCTTTGCAGCCAAGCGAAAATAAAATATAGTTCTTATGAACATTAAGCATTGGTTTATACAGTCAGAAAGTGAAACCTCAGGCTCCTTTTATTGCCCTTAGCCCTGCTCCTATAGAAAAAAAGCCTGTCGTATACAGAGATCAGCAGCTGATCATCTGCATTCACTGTTTGGGTATTCTGACAGTGGCACATCCCCCACTGCGTGAATACAATAGCCCAGTGGGGAGATTGCCCTGTCTATGCTGTTTAGCATAGATGGAGGAATCAAGCATTTTTTTCATTCCGCCCATGGGACTGAACGTGAAAAGGCACACAGTGCATGGCCAGATTTTGAAAACGTATATACACTTTGTAAAAAATCTAAACAAAATTGAGCTAAAACCATTGTGGTTTTCTTTTGATAATATAATAGAATTTTTAGTGGTGTGCACTAAACCATTTCAGCCAAACTTAAAGTGTGAAGTGTAATTTTCCCTCTATATGTTTATTATGTGTTCTATTCACACACAATACCACAGAATATGCAACATGGCTGATTCCAGGTTTCTCTGACCACCTTCACAGTGATCCTTCCTTAGAAAAAGACTTAGTACTGAAATTTATGGATTGTGTTCCTCCTAATAACTCCATTACTATACAATGGATAAGCCAGTGTTTTAATAGTTCAACCCCTCACAGCCCCTTCTAGCATTACAAAAGAAGGAGATGCAAGTAGAAATTGTAACCCTTAAGAAGCCAAGAAACCCATACCCAAGTAAAAGCAATTTAAACTGCAAGAAGCATTTTTAAAAATCTTTTTTAGCTTATGCTATGGGAATGTATAACAAATATAAAATAGGTGTTATCCCAAATTGGCTGCGAAAGTGAAAATACATTTTAAATCAGTTCTTTGACCTACAATCTGCTAATTAATGATTGGTTGCTAAGGATTGTAGAATACCATACTTTTGTAACTGTTTCAATAAATAATCTTTTTCTTTATTATTCTGGAAGTGAAATTTTGAACTGAGCAGGGTTCAGCTCATTGTAAATGATGAGACATACAAATTAGTAACTGTAAAATCAACCTTTGCCAATTTAGCCAATTCCCTGCCAAACCTAAAATATTCTGTATAGGTATAGTGAAAGAAAAAGAAAGTGAATACAACCACTTATAGCAGAACTCCAGGAAACAGCTAAATACACAGACAGGTTTTACTTGCCAAAGGATTTGTATTTGTATGCATTCATTCCTGAGATTTACACTGGCAGACAGTAGAGCCAGCTTCGGATACCTGATTTTTCTCTACAGAAGTTGAGTAATACAGCTAAATCTTGTCTCTTCCCCAGTCTGTGGTATTGTACAGTAAAGAGAAGCAGAGGCTGATGAGCTCACTTTGCTCTCTCCTGTCCTCTGTTACCACATTTACACTGTAGCACGATTGATTGACTCCTTGTGCTGCTTCCTCATCTTCATCTACACCCCTCCTTGTACACAGGCAGAGAGCACAGGAAGTTATCAGCTCCCAAGATTTCTAGCAAAATCAAAAGGTATTTTTTTCCACTTATTGAACAGATATAGCAAAACACTTTTAATGGTCTATGTAGCCAACCAAAAGGGAGCAAATTAGAGAAGTTCATTGTTAGCGTTCACGTACACTTTAACTGCTTGCTGTCCGCCCATTGCAAATAAACAGACGAATGGCAAGCTCCCTACAGCAGGTGGCTGTAAATATATACAGCTTTTTTTTCTGCTCTTGCGTACCCCCTAGCAAGTGCACGAGCAGAACATACTGACAAGTGTAAACAGCCAGTAACGGCTGTTACGTACAAGGGTTGGGACGGGCTCTATAGCCGCTCAGATCGCTTGTATGTGCCCAGCAATGTGCGGCACCCCTCCCCTCCACCGCCGTTACCAGCTATCCTGGGCTCCGTGGTCCCCCCTGCTTTCTGCACTAAGATCGGAGGGAGATCCGCACTCTCCCACCTACTGATCTTCTCTACGATTTCTGAACGCAGAAGTGGTGTGTATTACAACTCTTCTGCATTCAGCTGTAATTTCTATGGCTGCTATAGCCAGAGAAGAAGCTAGTGAAGCGTACCTCTGCTTCATCAGCTTCTTTGGGGTCCCTAGGTGACAGGGGTCTTAGAGACCCCTAATGTCTCCATAAAGAGGACCTGTAAGTGTGCCTATGCTATCACTTTGGGGGCTTGTCAGCAAAAATATGAAGTGTAAAAAAATTAAAGTCGCAAATAAAAAATGTTTAAAAAAAACAAAAACCCAAAAAATGTTTAAGTCCCCCGCCCCCACGTAATACGCACATACAAACGTAAATACGCGTGGCACATGTTACATATCACTGTGAAAGTCAGGGTGCAAGCAATAATTCTAGGACCATCAATCACTGATGACACTAAACTGATGAGCGCAAAAAAAAAATTAATCATCACCTATGGGCAATTTTGGGTATTGTAGTTTTTGCGTTTTTTGCAGGTGCGCACAATTTTAAGGCTTCACATGTTTGGTGTCTGTTTACACAACCTGATTTTTCGGTAATTTTTCCTTAATATAGTAAAAAATAAAAACCTCAGTGATGATTAAATACCCCCAAAAGAAAGCTCTATCTGTCCCAAACAAAATGGAATACAATTCATTTCAGTACAGCGTTGCATGACGGAATAAATGTCAGTCAAAGTACTGCAGCGCTGAATACGGAAAAATGGCCTGGGCAGGAAGGGTGTTTTAACTCCCCGGTCTTCAAGTGGTTAAAGTAATTCAAAGAGAAATTATATTTCTAAATATTGGCACGCACCATGTACATGTACTCATAAACCTTCTGACATCATAAGGGGTTACTTTTTATACATATGCTGTGCAAGAGGCTTATTCCAAGTCAAATAGATTCCTTACACTAGTTTTTTTTTTAAATACACGTTGTGATTTTTTAAATAAACAAAATACCTGAATAAATTGGTGTTTTTTATCTGCCTTAAGGTTCGCTTATAAAACCTTTACTTTATTTAATCTAATTTTCACACTATAAACAACAAAATAATAAATACAATGATTAAGCAACTATCCTAAGCACCAAACATTTTTCTCATACTACATTAACACGTGCAGCATCTGAAGTAATTATCTCTTGTAAATAAGGTCATAGAAAACGGTTTTCTACTTGCACTTAATTTCTTCTACGTTTGTTAAAGGAGAACTATGAGGGGAGAGCTTTTCACTCACCTCATACTGTAGTTCTAGCGGACCTGTGACAATGAGACTGTCACAGGTCGGCTCAGTAGATCGGGAAGTGAGTGAACACATAACGGCGTTCACTCACGCCGGTATGTGTTCGCTCCGATCCGCCAGCGCTGACTGGCGTATCGGATGGGGAGGGGGCGGGTACAGCTGGCTCTGCCTCTAGATAGGCAGAGCCAGCTGTCACTCACACAGCTGGGCGGATCCCGGGCATAATTGTCGGGATCCGCTTCAG